TTTGGTTTATTTGTGAAAATGGCTGTTATGTGGATTTTGGTAAATGTGAAAAAATGTTGGTTCATCCACAGAATGTTTTCCCAAATAAGGCATAACATACAAAACATGCTGAGGCAGCGGCCATTATAAAATCAGTTGGCATGGCAGCCTATTCGATTTCAAACACTTAAACCCTTTGATTATCACATTATTGAAAACCTGGATAGACTGACTGACAGTCAATGTTTGGCACCCATACCAGGCTAAATAGTTTCAGCGTTTTTCTGTTGTGATTTATGTCCCCAAGTCCCCTTTTGGGGGCAGAACTTACATAAAGAATACGCTACGGAGACCACCCGCCTCTGAAAATATACAGATGGATCGTCATTTACAGAAATGAGAGCTCAACAATTATCTTTAGCAACGGAGGAGGCATAACTGCAATTGGTCCCCAATAGATTATTGGTCCCTAATATATTATTTATTCCTTTTCTGAGGACCAAGATGGTCCTGACAGTTGCCCTCTGCATTGTCTCAGAAAGATCATGGCATAAGAGCTGCAAAAAATTCCAACCAGGCTTGTGGGCTAGCATAGCTATTTTGAAGATTATGTAAGCAATTGCTAAGGCTTGTTAGGCCTATGTTTGTGAGATCTTTGTATGTTTTGCAGCGTATTGTGTCGTTTTTTTTTTTTTAAACCACCGACAGTGACTCCTGTCATCCATTCTCCTAACCTGGGCCTTACGCTTTGTGTCTTGAGAGGAAAGCAATCAACTTGTACTCCCTTGGGTGCTTACAGTGGCTACACCCCATCAAACAAGCCATTTACTCCTGTACTTATAAACAGGATAATTTGTTGTACATCTGCTCTCTATAATTGAGGTCGAGGTCAAACTAAAATATCTCAGCAACCACTGGATGTATTGCCATAAACATTTGTTAAGATATCCATCATGGCTGGTGGATGAGTATTATTGAATTTGGTGAGCCCCAGACTTTACTCGTAGCATCGCAATGAGGTTAAAAGCTTTGTTTTTTTAAGTAAAATGTGTGTAAAAAATAAAAATGTTGGATTGGATGAATTTCCATGTATGTACCATTGTTAATTTCGGCATGTATTTTAGATGTAGTCTTTAGCAAAGAGAGAGCGAGAGAGAGTGACAGAGAAAGATGGTTAGGTTAGAAAAGGTTCGAAAAATAAAGAGAGATTCTTCTAAAGTTTTCACTTTTGAATCTTTTCCTGTTTCGTCATCAATATTGCATTTTAATATTGTTCTCGTTGTGTAAGAAAATTACTTTTTTGGTTAAAAAAAAGGTTTCATGTTAGCATTAAAGCATTTTTTATTGTAAGCATGTTGAGTACAGCCCTAATGAGTCGCTAGTCGGACTAGATTTGTACAGTATGCCTCAAACATGCCTGTTTGTCCCCTGATTGTGTGTTTTTGGTGAAATCTGCTCCAACTCGTTCCACAAACATACTATGAAAAGCTATTTTGAAAAGTATAAATAATATAAGGTCGTACAGTGGCAATGAATCCATTCCGACCCTCACGCGTACAACCAAACACAGACACAGTTTGCACAGACAAACATGCTGACATAACGGCTGAGTTTTTACTTCCAATTTACCATTAATATGACTCATGTTTTAAATAGCCTGGATCTCATAAGGGGTCGACATTTTTTCTCAAAGGTCAACTGTAATGTCTGTACTTCTATATGCTGCTTTTGCATGCTACATCTTATAGTGATGAGTTTTCTGATCCATGAGTTGTTCCTTGATCTTCACACACAAAGACTTCCAGATGGTGCAGCAGCAGTTTCACACTCCCACCTGTGAGACTTTCTCTTTTCCTCAGTCAACACTCACACAGATGTGTAATACGCTACATTCAAAAGGACATGTGTTTCCTTTTAAAGAAACATGAACAACACTGTCAGGAGTCTTGCATCATATTTTTCAGGTCACACACTGAAGACGACTGCCATTCATTTTGTATTTTTGCATAATTAACCACCAATTTTCTATGTGAAAATCTGCCACATTCATAGCTGTTGCAGTAGCATTACTAGGTGTTTGACCCACACCTGAAGGGTTGGAGGCTAGATGGTGATCTAGCTTGGGGAGGGGACCTGGGGCTAGATCCTTATTTAAAGGGGACCTATCATGCAAAATGCACTTTTGTACGTCTTTTATACATGAATATGTGTCCCCGGTGTTCCAGGGAACTCACCAAGTGTCAGAAAACACAACCCTCTCTATTTTCCTCCATACCCAAATCTCTAAAAACGGGGCTGCAACGGATCTGATAAAAACTGATCCAGATTTGAACACGTTACTGACGTCAGGACGGTGGCGCTACGGCTATTGGGCCAACTCTCCACCTATCAGGGGAATGTGGGGTTGGGCCACGGCCGGCCATTGCCGCTCGAAAGCGCTGGAGACGCTGTAGTACATATGCCAGGCCTGTAAGTGGCACTGTAGTCTGCCACAAAAGCAGCGAAGAAGACTTCCCGCGCATGGTTGCCCTTCTGTTTATTCTCCGCTGTGGCTCTTTTTCTCCCTCCCCGAGGCAAGCGTTTGCTCCTGCTGCTGTAATTCAATGCAATTCCTCCCCGTCGAGGCAAGCACTGTAATTCTCTCTGGTTAGTCCACCAGCAGATGACAAACACCCACCTCTCCGCCTCTTCCAAGGAACGAGGGGACCGTGCGGCAGAGTTTCAGTTAGGTTTTTTTCCGCCGGTCAAGATGTCCGTTAAAGTTTCAATCTTCCGGACAAAATTAGAAAAGGGCCGGTCAAAGGTCTTCTTTGTTATTTATTGAGCTTTAAAACAAATGAATAACGACTCTATATAATAATATAATAAAACACGGAGGACGGAGATCTCCCCCCTCTTCTGACAGCCCAGCAGCTGTTCAGAGCACGCTCCCCTCTCCTGCAGGGGGGCGTGGTCAGCTGCAGCTCACAGAATCAGCCCCCTGCAAAAACAGTGCTGGAAAGAGAGCAAATGGAGCGAAATGAGGCATGGCTAAAATGCAGGATCTGTTTGGTATTCTGAAAAAAAAACTATATTTATATACTTTATATAGGTATGGTCCTACAATATATTGTTCAAATATAGCATGATAGGTGTCCTTTAAGGTGGAGCGATGAAGCATCAATAGGAAATACTGAAATGACAGCTAAAAGCATACCAGAAGAGAACAGACTGATTACTGAATTTAACAAGATGATTGGTTCACTGATGTCAGGGTGGAAGCGGATAAGTTGAAGTAAAGAAGTAAAAAAACAAGCTAAACCCCATGACAGCCGGTTGGTTTGACGTTGCAGGATGTTTATAAAAAGAAAGAAAGCTCTACCGGAGTAGAGTATTGCCATATGCAACAACATAATTATAGTATTAAAGGTCCCTTGTCATGGCCATTTCTACTGATCATATTTCCATTGTTGAGGTCTACTAGAATAGATTTAAATTGTGCAATTTTCCAAAATCACATTGGTTTCTCATACAGCATCTCTGTATAGCATGTGTATTCAGCAGGTATTCACTCTCTGTCCTAAACGGCTTGTTGGAGCTCCTGCCCCCCCCCCCCTCCCTGTGAGCCCAGTGTGCTCTGATTGGTCGGGACGTTGAGAGGCTCGTTGAGAGGCTCGTTGAGAGGCTCGTTGCTGCTCGCCGCTGCTGCGAACTGCTGCAAGGAGGGGACAGGTTTCCGGGTCGGCGATACAGCGAGAACAAGCTAAACTCATCTTGAGCACACACAAACACTCACAGCCGAAGTAAAAACAATAAGTGTGGCTTGATATGGAGTAAGAAAAAGGTTTATAACGCTGTGAGAATGGGTCTGCGGAGAGCATTTCTCCGCAATCCCAACTCGTCTATTACCAGCGTTCAGGGAGCTCAATGCAAGTCAATGGGGACTCCCTGTTAGTTAGCCAAGGGATCCTGGTGTGTGAGATGCTACGCGGATTGGTCCATTTGGGCCAATCCGGTCATTTGTTGATGATTTGGGTATCCACACGTCACAGAACCCAGGAAGCAAACAATGGAAAATGAGAAATCTCCAACGAGGCATTCTGGGGCAGCATAGACAGGTCTTTTCCGTGTTAGAGTTTTACTCGCTACAGGGTGTACTTTGAGGGTTTGTGACTCTGACCGTTTACATGCATAACAACCTTCATAACACACAAGGGGACGGGTAATAACCGGAAAAGCATGACATGGGCCCTTTAATAAAGAATGTCAGGCAATTTTCAAAATATTCTAGTTTGACTGAATTGGCGGTTGAGTTAATCGCACTGGAAGTTTGACACGTGTCTGTGGTTTACCAGGACGTTTTAACATAAGGTAAATTATAAAGTGCAAAAAAACAAGTCTTCAGTGGAAATAGAAGATAATTTGTTATTAGTTCAAATGCGAAAACCGCAAGCAACCTCTTGCTAATAATGAAAACGAAAAGGCAACGTCTGAATGGTCATATGACCTCTGTTGAGGATCAGTAGTAAAGGCAGTAAAATAATATGACATCGTTAAAACCTTTAAGAAGAGGATGGGGTATTTGCTGTCAATGTTTTATTACCCTGTTACTACTAGACTTCAGAGGTACCGGGAGACATGTTTACCCAAGAATGGTAATGTCAGTTGGTTGGTCCTCCACTTTGGTCCAGACTGAAATATCTCAATAGATCATTGGATGGATTTGCTTTCCAAATGTCATTCTCCTGGTTGAGATTAAAAATTATATATCTCAGGGAATAAGTTTTGTAAATGAATAGAATAAAACCCATATTATTACCTATAATTCCTGGCAATAAAATGTTCAGGAAAATTGATATGACACGAGACCATAGACGTTTATATTGTGGTTTTGTTCTTAGTTTTAGAACTGTTACACCTGTAGTACTTTAACTGTATTATTTTTACACACATGGTTGGGACATCCCTGAAAGGGCAATGTGAAAAGAGTATAAAATGACTGGTAATGCAGTTCATCTCATTATTTGTTCTGGTTTCCGTAGGCCTGTTTCTGCTATCGCCTGTTATGATGGCCCCAACACCAGCCAGCATGTGCACAGCCTTGAAGACACTCAACGGTAGCCTCAGCAACAGGCGGCGGTACATGGTGAGAGAGTGATGACACATTTGCAAGCATGTCTCAGTCAATATGGAGGCAAGCTAGCTAATTTCACCCTCAAATAAACACATGATTTGGTTTATTCTAGAGGTAATCTTTTAGAACCTTTCTCTACTTCTAATTTGAGGTTCTTTTGTAATGTATGTCCCCAGACAAAAAGATAACAATAATTAATGATAACGATTAGACATTTTCCACAAAAAGGGAAACCTTGGTTTTCTGTATCAATAAACCTTAAAAGGGGCACTTCAGAAACATTGGGCTCATGCAAGAGACACATTTCTAAAGTACGGGTTGCAGAGATAGCTTTAGTTTTAGTCCTTCCATACAGGTTCCAAAAACACTTGTACCTTTAATTCCCATAATGCAACTCGAAAGCATATTTTGTATACCTACTCTGACTTGTAAATGGCCATGTCTTAAAAATCATTCTTTGCACAGGTCTCTTTTTAGAAATGAAGTCAAAGCCCAAGTTAATCATAACCAAAGGACATCAGTATGATTTACCTTGACAAAGGTTGAGTAGAGCAGCAAAGCACATTATAGAACTGTTATCACAAGCTGAGAAGTACACCAAGTTACAAATAAACTGGTGTGTAACTTTGGTTGAGCTTAATCATTCTAAGTTTATGACTGCCCTTACGACAATTAGACCACTAAATGAATCAGTACTGTCCCTTTATCCATCATGCACAATATCTTGGATGCTGTCTGACATACTTTTAGCAACATTCTCATTAATGATTTTCCACCACAAACCACAAGTTTATATGTGTAAATCTGCTAACTCCAAACATAAATGTAACAACCAAATTCCTGAAAGACAAACAAAGTTTACAGCTCTCTGATTGATGAAAGACACATGCTAATGAATCTCTCCTTTTCCATGTATTACAGAAGCACAACTTCCCCATCAAATACACCATCAGGGTCCATTATGAGGAAGTCTTCAAACTGTCAAACATTAACAGAATGGTAAAAGTCACAATTCTTGTTCTTGATTCAGTGACTTATTTTATTTTCCTGGCAGAGGACTTGGCTCAGGAGATTCCTCAGATGATGCTTGCCATGTGTCTTACAAGCCAACATGTCAACCTACTCTGTTTTTCAAGGATTCTTCCAATACTTTACCTATTCTCTCCCGCTGTCCCAATTAAATATTTTCCCCTAAATCTTTTCTAAGAAAATTAAATTAAACTTGGCTGCCACTAAGATGTGTTTGTTTACTCCCGTAAAGTAGTTTGTTGAACATTAACTGTTCCATCTAGAGACATTAAGTCTTTCAAATAAAGATCAGCAGCCAATAAAAGGGGAATAAGATGAAACATATACAAAAAAGAGTACTACATTTAAGTGCTGAATCTATAAGACCTTTTGTGTTTTATATATTGCGCTTGCAGGAATTTACACAGTATTTCACTTTCAACCTGGCATATGATTTTGACTTCCCTATTGTAGATATGTGTCCAAAAATCTCCTTAACTGAAAAATGTGTATGTTCCTGTAAGTGTCTGACCTTGACTGTGCTGACTTGATAGTTGTTTTCACATTACTCTTCTGAAAGGGGAGACATATACCCCTGAAGGGCAAGATATATCAAAACTTTGTGCCGTTAAGCTTTTTGCATTTCTCCTGTAAGAAACTACTTATTACTAACTAATTACAATTCAGTGTATCATCAAAATGATTTTGGATTATCTTCAGTTAAAATTGTTACATAATTATGTTTAACATGATTCTTACACTTCTCTCCTCTGCTGGTCCATCAGAGGTTACATGTGGAGGGATTGGATGAGCTAGTTCTCCAGAGGTTGTGGTTCCAGGTCAACCGAGGCGTTTTAAAAAAGGTAGGAATATTGTCTCCTTAAAGATGCAATTTGTTAAATTTGTGCCGGGAAACACAGCAGATCTCACATCTCTTTACTGCCAACTTTTCCATTTCAATCAAAGTTTAGAATTGAGAAGACAGTTGAATCCGATGTATGCTGCCTTTCAGTTTATTGTCTTAAAATAAACACGTTTATATTTTTTTCAGATCATCCGGGTTATGCCAGAGAGACATCCTTCACGTCAATACACCACTGAGTTGGAAAGGCGCTTCAGGGATGCAGAAGGCGTGTTTGTACAGTCACATCCGGCTGAGGTAAGCCAGAGTTCATGAATGTGTACCACAGCTGTACCTCTTCAAACGAAGCAATTAAGTCAGTAAGTGAATTTCCCTCAGACTATAAGATATTTGACAGGAGATGGTTGTCACATTGATCCTATTTATCAATACTGGGAATGAATGTGATCATTCAATCATTGGGGAATTAAATGTGGCTTCTATTTATGGTACAACAAGATTTCAGTTAAGCTGAATTAAGTAAATTCTTTGATCTGACAGGAAAGTGCATATGAAAGACATCTTGAAATATTCTTTTGGAATAGGTCCTGGGACTGTTCACTATATTTGGTGAATGGTCCATGTACTCATTCCAAGAGAAATCCTGTAATAAATGTAGTTTCCCTTGAATGCTGACAGTTCTGTCCTGGTGTTTTATCAACATCGGTTATTCCATGTCCTCTTTGACCTCACACTTTGGACTTGGATGTTTCGATAATTAAAATGAATGCATACCGTTGTCCTTTAACAGTCATTTTCCACATACTCAGTATCTTCTGTTGAAGTACATAGTTGGGTCTAACGGACTTTCATTCAAACAAATTCAGGGAAAATACAAAGTACCTCGCTCACAATTCCTCCGATTTTTGCAGTTAAGAAACTTCATTAAGTCTAACAAGCTAACATTGGAGAACATTGGCTCTTTGTAATAGAGAAAACACTGAGACAATCTGAGAACAATCTTTCTACCAAGAGAAAACAGGAAATGTAACATGAGGAAGACATTAATGTGGAGACGAGGTCGCAGACTTGTGCAAGGATACATTCTGACTCATACAAATTGAAACACTAGCTCTTACAGTTCACACTTAAACTGAATTGAGCAAACTGAATACTATGCATTCAGAAATGTCCTTGTGTTGATGCAAGAGATCTAAGGGATCCTTTCTGCCTATGCTATAGTGTTGTTTAAAACGTACCCTTTACTGGGAGGAAATATGTTCCCTTATTACATTAAGCTTAGAAAGCAATTATGTACCTACTCCACATCGCTGTCACTTTAAATATTGCCGATTGCTATCGTAAGAGATACAGTTATCTGGTATTTATGGCCGCAATGTTTATTTATTGTTGAAGTCATCTGCCATTACTAATATGCTGTATAAAGTGAATTTTCTTTGTTTGGGGTAAACTAGCCCAGGAAGTGACCCATACCATGTAATGCTGATTCAATGTCCCCATTGCTAGCAAACATATTAATACTTATTGACTTAAGTATTTGTTCATTCTTACCCTAACCCTAATCCTGTCCTAGAGTTTCCCACGTACTTATAATAAGCATACAAATAGTACTGATTGTAAACCCTGCTGGAGAAAACAAATCCAGGGGGGTGGTAATATACTGTAAAAAATGTAATGTGAACGAAATAAGTGAAATACAAAAAGACTGTAAGGGTCAGAGGATATTTGACTGGAGTTGGTTGTCACATTGATTTTATTTATCAATATTGAGAATGAATGCAATCATTCAATCATTGGTAATTGAATTCAGCTTCTATTTACCGTCCACCAAAAGTTCAGTGAAAATGAATGCAACACACTCTTTGATCTTGTTGACCAATCTGTGCAGGTATTTTATCTAAAGTCTATTTTTCCATTACGATTCTTGTGTCCTCTTGAAACTCTGTGTTAAACACTGTTGGCCCAGTGGTAGCAGTTGTAAAAAAACTCTTCCTGGACAACTTTCTTTATGGCAGACATGGAAGGTTTCTCATTTCTTTAATTCCCCTCCTCGACTCCCCTCCTCGACTCCCCTCCTCGACTCCCCTCCTCGACTCCTATCCTCGTGTCTTAGTCCCGCCTACAGGAGATGCGAGCAGAGGAGTCGAGGAGGGGAACCGAGGAGAGAGGAGGGGAAGCAGCAGGCGTTTAGAGAAATGAGAAATCCTCTCCTCTGAGCGGTCATTTTAAAGAGACGTCCATTAATGATGACAGGAGGCACAGCACTCTGTCTGATGGACAGATGTGTTCATGACGACTTATATATTTACTTTTAATTCATTCACAATAACAGGCTACAGATGCAGACATATATACACAAACACACACACACACACACATATATATGTATATAAATATATACAATTTCAGATTCAAACAAGTATGAGAGCACTCTCATAATAACGTAACACAATCAGAGACTGGATATATCCCCCCCCCCTCCGGCCGTGCGTCACGACTCTTTGAAACATCACTGTTCCCGGAAATACATCCGCGGAGGAGCCACGGAGGAACCATCAGTGTATCCTCGATTATAGCTCCTCCAGAGAGCCTCCTCGATGCTCGATCCTCAATGTGCATTTAGAGAAATGAGATGTCCTTCAACATGGCGCGCTGAAATCCATTTCCGGGTCACTACCGGAGGACCGAGGATTCGAGGAGTCGAGGAGGGGGAATAAGAGAATTGAGAAACCTTCATGGACTCGTGGACAAGTTACTTGAATGCATACCGTTGTCCTATATCAGTCATCTTCCACATGCCCTATGGCCTCTGTTGAAGTAGACAGTGAGTCTAAAGTCAGCAGACAGTCAGGCTGGACTCACAGACAGATCACGGACAGTTACTTAATTCTGAATGTTTACCAATTAGGGAACTCAGATGATTTAGGATAAAGGGAAACAATGCAAGTAACTTATACGAATGATGTCACAATAATGAACGCCTTCATTTACTGAGCTCACTGAAATCCTCAAATGTGTATGTTTATAACAGCTGGACATAGATACACATTGTCTTGATAATGACAATTAGTGTGACTGTGCGACCAAAAAAAAGGACTATCAAATTGAACACAAGTACAAACAACCAAAAACAACCCAACACTAACCCTAATTGAGGTCCTACCTGTGGGTGGATGTAAGGTGTAGGGACTCATTGAGTATTTATACAGTCTATGGTTTGGACTAGGGAGCCTCCATGTGGTTTTATAATCCCCATAAGCAATTTATAACACTCTGAACCAAGGTTACTTTTAGAAAACATACGCATAACGTGATTATGCAACATGGCCATTTTTCCCCATATAATTTTCCCTTTCTGTGTGAAAGTATTAATGACAAAAGCAATACGTCAAAGAAATGTGTTGCTATGTGAGTTCAAATGAAGAAAACACCCAAGTGTGTTGTAGCCTCAGAGCTGATGGGTCACAAGTTCTGCATCTATGCTTTGAAATGGCCATAAAAGCATCTAGAGACTTTCTCACACTGCTGTTGATTACTTTCTTAAGAGGTATTGGATGGATACATACTTCAAATGAAGCTACTGACTCACGCTTCTGTCTCTGTGTGCCCAGGTGTTCCAGCAGGAGCTTCCAGAGTCTATCCAGGACACTTGGGATCATTTAACAGAAGAGCCTAGCAGAGTGCCTGAGTCCAGTTGGAGATCTGCTTCCCCGAAGTCTCTCCTGGACAACCTCTGCCACACCATGCACTGCCTCTTCAGTGAGTGCTTTGACAGCACAGAAACAAAGCGGGACTGTGAGTATTTTAAAGAAAACCCTCCAGTGGCACAGGATGTAACCAAGAAAAAAAATTAAAAACATGCTATGTTCCTAATTAGAGAGAAACACAAGCAGCACAAGAACAATTAAAAGAAAAGACAAACCAAACTTCCCTACAGGACATGGTATTATGTTAGATACCTGATGTCAATGATGTAGGGCCTATGTCAATGGCCGCCTCTCACCACGTTATTCAACTACATCCCCAGCTCCTGCCCCCATTTTGTTTTAATAGTTCCACCATCTTTTTTTGTTGATGAGCTTTGTTTATTGCTTTTTCACAGACAGTAATTTCGTAGCGTTTCTCTGCATAGGCAAAGAAAGTCCCCCAATTATTTTGAAACTTCTTGGGAGAGGCTTCCAACGTTTATCGTAGTTTTTCAAGCCATAAATAAACAACGTTTTTTCAACATCATCTCATTAGTACTAGAGGTCTAGCCAATAATGTCAGTAGAGTTATCAGCTCCACTGGGAGCCTCGGCAAAAGGCAACTGAAGAATGTCGAAAGAGCAGTAATGGCATTAGTTTGGATAAGTGTCCCAGTTACCTCCGTTAGAGTATTGCAAATCATAGGCCACTAGTTACGCAGACATGGACACGACCAAACCATACTGTATGCACTCATTTGTTGTTGTTAGATGGCATTTTTCACAATTTGGGTGAATATTGTCATAATTCGCACAAGGCCTGCCATTATGAGTGTGATGAACAACTTTGCATTGGATCTTAATTTTATTTTTTTTGGTTTACTGCTGTTTCTGAATGCCAAGGCTGTTGGTATGACTCTGGTTGTGAGTTTGGAAAGCTCCAAACGTCCTTCACTCTGTCAGAGGGGCCCCCCAGATCTTGCATTACTCAAATTGAAACGGCATGACAAAACTTAAACTTGAAGGACACATGATATTTGTTAGAAGGAAACCAGAATGTCTAGGTAGTAATGTGCTACAATAATGCTATGCATGGATCTTCACAAGATGATATTCAGTCAAAGGTGACTGAAGTGTTCCTGGAAGAGAGGTCCCAACATGAGACTCCATTAATCATAACACAGAGCTTCAGTGTTGTGGGTCTCATGTGGGCTTTATTCCAGTCTATTACAGTACACACCTGGAAGAAGATTTTAATAAGACAGTAAACATTTAAAGCATTAAAACCTTTCAATTCTATCTTTTCCATTGTGGTCCATTTCCAAATATTGAATGGCAGTGTGCATGAATCACATAGTCTGTTAGCAGCATGCTGCAGTAGCACACACACCACTATAGCAGCCAACACTTCAGCACATTTTCAGTTGTAAATGACATAGTTATGAGCAGCACGACGGTAAGAAAATATCTGATTCATTATTTGTTGTAAGCAATGCAGATAAAAACCTGTTGCTTCTCCGGTATTAACCCAGTGAAAATGTACAGTCTTTTCAGCATTTCTGTTCAGTTACAATGTGATCTCTGTCTAGTATATTGAAAAGGTAAAACATGTCAATATCACAAAAGGCTTAAAATCTACATAATAACCTGCATTTATCATAATTCCCAATCAGAATCAAGTTTTTACAAAACGTTTTTACCGGATATCCTCATGGCGTGGTCTACTTTCAGTAACATGTGTTCACTGTGCTTTTGACCCTCCATATGAGGCTCATAGTCACGGGTTAAACTGCGTTCGTGACTTTCACAGAGACTTAAGTCACTGCATCTCTACACACATCACCGCCAAACGTGAGAATTACATGACACTTAAACTAATTACCAAATAAAGTTACGTTTCGTGTGTGACTTTACAGGGAAGACCTTAATATCTTAGGTGACGTGACAGGACTAACATGACAGGGCTTACAAGTGTTCTGTATTACATATGGGGTGTATGTACTTTTTGAGTGTTAGTCTAGAGCAGCGGTTTTCAAAGTGTGAGGCGCGCCTCCCTGGGGGGGCGCCAGAGAGCTTCAGGGGAGGCGCAGCATGAGAAAAAAAAGTAACGAGAACAAGATGAGTAAAGTGTCACTTGCACACTTTTGGCTGTCTGTGGAGACCGAGTTCCCCCACCTCGCCAAAAAGGTTGTAAAAGTGCTCATACCCTTCACCTCCACCTACCGGTGTGAGTGCGGGTTTTCCGCATTGACTTTGATCAAAAGCAAGTACCGGTCAAGGCTGCAGCCAGAGGCTGATCTGCGTTTATTCCTGTCTACATTGCATCCCCGCCAGAGTCCTGCACGGGTCTGATTTTCAAGACCCGCTCACGCCCCGCACCTGCAACGTGCAATACCGAACCCGCCCCGCCACCCGCACATATTGCCAATTAGTTCCGCAAACCGACCCGACCCGTCGGCACAAGATCCGCAAACCGACCCGAACCCGCATATCCTAGGAGCACTGAAAACATGCAATTATTAACACACGCAGTTGCGTATTTGGCTCAAAAAGCGTGGGATGTTGGTTATTTTCTCCATGACACCAAAAGCCTCCCAGACGTTGGATTTCGCTCTTGAGGAAGAGTTATTTACAATGCTGTATTCTCCGCTAGAGCTTCACCTCAGCCATTTCGAATGTGGCGCGCTCAGCAGCAGATTGATGCGGTGCAGAGGTTATGATTATGCGCGGTCCCGCGGGGAGAGGTCTGAGGAAACTTACCACCCGCGAATCACTTTTTTTGCGGGTCACCCGTCGGGTACCGACCCAATGCAGGACTCTGATCCCCGCAGGACTCTGATCCCCGCAGGACTCTGATCCCCGCATCACCCGCATGTGCGCATCAAAGACGCAGACTCATTGTTCCCAGCACTAAAGTAGGGGTGAGTGTAATAAGGAGGCAAAGTTGATGTTCAGTGTGTTGCCGGGAGCATATAAGGATTCATCCACGATGTTGAAAATGTAAAAAATGTTTAAAACACATATTTAAAACATAAAGATAAAAAGGTTTTAAAAAGTTATTTTTAATGTTTTTAGGAGGTGATGCTACTCAGCCAATCAAATCGGTGCAGTCAGTGAGTCAGCACGATAGATTCAAACACACAGAGACGAGACAAGAAGAGAGAAACAGTTGGAGTAACTTCAAATGGCGTGCTCAAAAAAGAGAAAGGTAGACAGCGAAAACAGAGCATTTAATGACATTTGCTCTTATTGGACCTCTTTGAAATGCAATTGAATACCCCTGCATTATAGCAACAACAACAATAATAATAATAATAATAATGATAGCAATAATAATTGGGAGGGGGGGGCGCGGCTGTTCTCATGTTCTCTGAGGGGAGGCTCACCTTCCCAGACTTTGAAAACCCCTGGTCTAGAGGAACCATGGGGGGAGTGTTCTCAAGTACATTTCGTCACATACAGATGTAGTAACAAAATTACTTATGGTCATGTTTAGGCAACAAAACTACTTGGTTAGATTAAAGGTGGGGTAGGTACGTTTGAGAAACCGGCTCGAGATACACTTTTTGTTATATTCCATGGAATGCTCTTAACATCCCGATAGCAATGAATATCTTAAGTGCTTTGACAAGAAATCCATAAAGAAATGTCATCTGTGGAAGCCGTAGTACTGTAAAAAGCACGACCAATCATTTTAGCCGGCCCGGCTAAAATAACTGGATGGCCTACCTGCCTGTCAGCCTTCCATCTGTGCACAAACTTATCTCGTGCCCTCATTGGTCATGTGCGCGTTCGTGTGTGTTGGAGGAGCTCTGTAAGGAAGTGGCAGATTTTTTCCGGCTGTGTATTTTCAAATTCTAGCGCACTCGAGCTGGTTTCTCCAAAATTACCTACCCCACCTTTAAGGAAGTAATCATGGTCTGGGTTAAGATGCGGATATTTTATACAAATGTAATTTTGACAATGTGAATCCGTCAATGTTGATTGATGATTTCACATGTGACAAGAACAGGGTGGAAATTCAGTGTTGGGTTGACCCACACAACCTCCTACTGTACATCACTCCCGGATTTGCTCTGAGCGTCTAATATGAACAAAAGCAAGATATGCGTTGCGATTATGAAGTAAAGCTGTAACTACTTTGTATCTGACTCCTCAAAAAGGTGAAACCTGAGAGTAAAGTGGGGCTGAAGGTAATTATCTCTTAGTAGTCCCAAGGCTCATATCCACATGGAACAGTTTCATTAGGAGCCAGTAGCACATGTGGTAGTAGAAATGGAAGAATATCCATGAAAATAAATAAAGTTTATCTTGTCTACTTTTCAGATTGCAGTGTTTCCCATTGGAAAAAAGGCAAGAAGAAAAATGTACGCCCTCGAAGCTGAGAAGGGGCCAGCGGGATGCAATGTTGATACCGATAAAGGGTTGGTGTCATTATCTCCGTTTCAGCGATAGAGAGAAGAGTGAAAGGACAATCCACACGGAAACAAGAGAGCTCAGTCCTGATTTGTGAACATCAATAATTATTTCCTAAATATACCGAACAGAGCTAAGATTGTATTTATGATAATAAGGTATGATCAATGGCTCTATCACGCAAAGAAGACTCATATTGTAGGTACAGCAGCAGCATTTATGGTGATTTCATGAGCATAATGGACTTTCTGCTAAAATGAAATTACACTTATTTAGGAGAAATTCTCCAACTTTTAGATTTTCCAATTCTGTCACACATGAAGTTTAAATATTTGTCTCTTGATGGCAGCTCAGATTGATTATTTGTTCTTGAGAGATTTGTTCATATATGGACTGAACTGATCATCGATTGGATGTCACTGTGGCTTTAGGAAAACTCTCCCCAAAAAGCCTGTGATGTGCTCCGGTGGACCTGAATGGTTCGGATCAGAGATCAACATTGGAATGTTATCATATCGAGAAACATCTGCAGACTTTGTACCATATCTGACTCTTCCACACATCAATGAGCTGGAGCCCGAGCAATTGACATGAACTGACTTAAGACCTACTGGCAAACTGTGCAAAGCTTGAAGAGTGACCATTAGCATTTTTAAATGTGAATTAATATCATCGTTTCACTATTTCACTTTGTTCTGACTTTAACATTTGGGCCAACATCGATCTTTTTTTATATAAATACCTTTGAGGTATCTGACCATTCAGATTTGGCTCCCCTTCAAAGTTCACATGCAGGCTCATCAGAAAATATATATTATGATACAATCTTTCCCAGGCTCATTTTTCTCACAAGCCACCCAGAGCCGAATAAGCTTTTTCAGGAGGGGATCTTAAAGACAGGCGCTAAAGCGTTCCAGACAGAGGTTATTGCAGGTATATTCAGAAAGGCAGTATGATTACAATTAATGTACTTTTAAAAAACTAAAGCATGTAAACATTTTCTAGTAGAAACCCAACATATTTATACAAACCTGGAAATTAGCTTTATATGTATCCTTTAATAGATACATAATCTAAAAATAACTACATTGGAGAATTTGGTGAACATGTGCCATTTAATTATTTGAATTTCATCAGGCTTTTAGGGTCTTTACAGTTGCTCCTCTCAGATGTTTAGCTCTGAACATGCTAGAAGTGAAGTCTGATATTGAATGACCTGATTCTTGACTTCTAGATTCATAGACTCCAAGATTTTACTTCAAAGCAAATCAGTATCTCTTATCATTGATGTTCTGTCTTAGATAACCTCAGGTTGTGTCAGCTTTCCAGTTGTTAGGCTATATTGTGGATTTTCTTAATTAAATTCACAGTTTTTAAGTTTTGAGCAATGAACACATTAGAAGAATTAGGGCTGTACCCAATAGTTTAAAGCTTCGTAGCTTCATTCATAATGTTGCCATTCAATTCCTAAATCGCTGAATACTGTGCAGTTTTTATTTTGTGCATGTCTAATAATTCTATTTAATGTATTTATGTACAATTGCTTTTAAATATAAGGCTACACTATTATTATTATTATTATTATTATTATTATTATTATTATTATTATTATTATTATTATTATTATTATTATTATTATCATACTATTCCTATTTATGAATGATATGCTGGTGGTGGCTGCAATGAACTGTTTCCAATGCATGTGGTCCAATAATTCTAGAGCGTTCAATAGCGTCCAATAGTCTAAATATATTGAAAAGAGCTTGAATAACTGTATTTCAATATTGTACTTCAAATCCTTACATGTTGGTGTTCAACGTTTTAGGTAATAATATTAATTGCGTTTAGAAAAATGTTCTCCAGCTTGCAAAGGAAGGAAAACACCTGGATAAACAGGGTGGTCTAGCAGCACAATAAATTACATGAACTACTCCGCAATAAGTTAAACATTCTTTGTGACGGATATTCAAAGCCTCACTTAAAAACTCCAATAAATAAAAAATAAATGTCATTCGGTACAGCCCTAATAGAGATAATTATTTAGTTGAATACACACCAACCTATAAAGAATAATACTTATTTATGGAAGAAACCTATAAATGAAGACATACAGTAATGCTTTGGGCAAAATAAGGACACTGTAGGCCCTCTGGGAGTCTTTTAATCGACTGAGGCAAAGATTAAGATTATTTGTGTTCCACTTCAGGTAGTGGTGACTTTTATCTTGATGCTCCTTTTTCACAGATCCTGACTTGCTGGTTTAGTCAGTTTACAGTGTAACACTTCCTTCTGCCTTCAATACGTTATGTTTATTATGACAGCATAAAAAAAATCAAATAGAACAATTGCTCTTAATAAGTAGTAGTTGAGTTGAGTAATCAATTTTCCGTTTAAAATTAAATGGTAATAGATATAGAGTAATTCATAAATAACTCAAATAAATGGCATTTACCCTACACCATTTAAAAAAGTAATATGGTGTTTCACTTATAAACTTCAGGTATCTGTCCCATAGAACTTAGTGACCCCTTATGACTGCACCAAGTATCTATTTATGAAAGCTTACTATAAGAAGGTAATAGCTTCAGTTTAAGAGTTTACTTACTTTAAGAGTTAAGGATGATGTTATATAGAAAGCAAAGTGTTGAGATTGGGTCTGAAAGGAGCTCTATTCAGGAGAGCTTTAATGATGTAATGAATGAATGATAATCATTGGTGTATTGTTCTAAATGCAGCGTATATTTGTATTACACTTAATCCTATATAACTGTACGGTTGTCTTTTTGTTACCATAAGAGCATTTTATGTGTGTATTCAAAGATCCCTTATTGTGAATATAAAGTTATATTTTCCCCAAACTGACTGGCAACAGCAGAGAGATGATAACTGCAAACATGTGGATGGGTGTTCTTTAAAAACTGACTTTTTTATATGCAAGATATTGAATTTATTTATTTTTTTGAAATGTATAATGCTATGTGTCAATACTTCAATGAAAGAAATACAAATTAAATAGCTATTTTTTATCAACTAACCCTGTGTCTAGTGTCCAGTTATTATTGATGTGTCTTTCATTACGCTGCCATTATTATTCTGACTTGTCCAATTGTTTTGCATAATAAAGTGCAGCTACTTGCAATCTTGTGTTGCTAATATTATTTTCTTAAACATAGAGGAATCACTAAAGACCGCCTACATATCTTTAGCAGTTTTGATGTCTCTCTGTTTTGTGATCATGTTGTATTACTTTGTAGTTTGTTCTAGAATTGTTGTGCTTATTTTTATGTTTTTGGTCGTTGAGAGTTTATTTTTGGTCTCTTTGGAGCTGTTTTGCATCTCTTTGTTGTCTTTGTTTGCTCGAAAAGTCTGTTCTTGTTTCTTTGAGGTCAGTCTTACAATCCTCTTCCGGTCAGGATGTGTCACTTTGAGTGACATTTTGTTGGTGAAGGTTGAGAAGGTGCCCTGACACTTTTGGGTCCCTGGGCCTGCTCCAGGTAAGCCTGTTAAGTAAGCCTTTTCCCGCGGTGTGCCCTCTGCCCCTCAGTGGTCCCTGTACCTGCGCCTGGAGGGCAGGAGGTGCGGCGTGGAGTCTGTTCTGTTGAGGTGTCAATTCATCTGATGACTCTTGTTTAGCTCTGCAATGTTGGGTGTGGGGAGACCAATCATCCTGGAAGCAATGTTAAAGACCTGCCAATCAAATCTGCAGTAGCCAAATAGGAGGTTCCAATTACTAGGTGGAAGAGGTAGATTCAGATAAAACTTCAGTAAAGTAATATTACTTTTAAAGTAACTTAAGTGTCTTCTGCTAAATGTACTCTATTATCAGAGTACTCATTATTAAGCATATTGTCTCCTGTCAGATGATTTATGTTTGTATTCCTATTGCTAATGTTAAAATGTATACAAATAATTGCTGTACCTGGCCTCAGTGGAGCTAATTTAACTCATTTGTATACTGTTTGTCAAATGCATCATATTTTCTGATGTTGTGTTTGGTTTAAAAAATCTGATACTGCACAATAGAAAGTAGCTGTCAATTAATAAATCAGTTGTAAATGATATTTAATTTGCGCTTTAAAAAAAGTTACAGATTGCTTTACATGTCTGAACCAAAATCAAAGACAATACTGATCAAAGCATGCAAACAAACAAGAAAGAACCGTTGTAAATAAAACAGTGTGTTAAAAAGAATAAAGGCTTTTGGAAAATACACGTTTTAAGAGCTTATTTAAAGGATGCCCCTTTTTTGTTAGCCTCAGACCCTCAGGCAGGGAATTACAGGGTAAAGGGCCCTTGATCGTAAAAGCTCAGTCTAATGTGGTGAGGTATTCTGTAAAATATGGGGGAGAATAAGTATCCCTAGCAGTAATGGAATTATTATTTACTTGTATCATTATGTGGATTTATATTACAATAATTTAAAAAAAAGATATGTGATAATATTATTTTATTTTTAATTCATATACAACGAAAACAATTGTGTTTATAACAATCATCTTTTTATATAAATTGTGCATATTTTTCTATTGCACAAAAAAAGAACAATTTGCACTTGAACATTTTTGGTGGAGATAGTAATTTCTATTTAATTCACAAATTACGTGAATCTTATTCGTTGCATACATTGAATCTTATTCGTTGCATGCATTAATATTGAGACTGATCTGAGTACATGTCGCAACTTCTCTTTGCAGCGTCAATGTTATGCAATAACGTCTAGTTTGTCCCTCTGTACTCACCGTAGCCTTAACAGAGAATACAGGAAGTCACCCATGGTGAGGCGAGAGAGAAAATAGTATTCAATTTTAGGGTAAGCATATTGCAAAAATACGTGTAAAAACAAAACCCACTGCATTTATGTTCAGTAACATGATCTCAAAACACGTGCTTAATTAATTTTCACACTTCCAACGTTACTTTATTATGTTATTGCGTTTATTTTGAAAGTACGACTCGGAAGCCATATAAAAACCAAAGGTCTTGCCAGTTTGACAGTGTGCCTGTTTGTTTCCAAGAGTTGTGTTATATAGACAGTGACCCACTTTGCTTGTGAGAACAGCAGACAATGGCCTCCGGTGACGGAATTCAGATACCGAGCCGCCTGCCGCTGCTGCTGACCCATGAAGGGGTGCTGCTCCCGGGCTCCACCGTCAGATTCAGCGTGGACTCTCCGCGGAACATGCAGCTGGTCAGCCAGCGGCTTCTGAAGGGAACTTCTCTGAAAAGCACTATCATAGGAGTGATTCCCAACACCAGAGACCCAGAGCAAGACACCGACGATCTTCCCAGCTTGCATAAGTAATCAACGCTATATACATAGATAAAGAGTAAACAGTTATATCCCGAGTTTGATAAGTGGTGTTGCTGTTGTTGTTGTTATGGATGCATACCAGCTGACTGTACAGGATGTACAACCTGGGACTGGGGACCCCTTCAAACCTTAGGGGTCATGAGAAGTTAAAACAAATAGTTATGTTAAGCACTTTTAAGGGGACGATAAGATAGCTTACTATAAATTCCATCTAGATTTTCGACGAGTGGATAAACATTTGGTAACACCATGTCCCAATTCATTGAACATGTAGGCCATGGCATTTCACTGGCACTACTGAGCTTATCATGCTAATCTATGAATTAGTTTTCTTTTCTTTATTTTGTCTGTTAAGATTTCAATCTTTTAAAGGTTTTATTAATACACTACTACAGTGTAGTGCAGTGAAAAACTTGGGTTATAGGTTCCTCAACAATGCAATATGAACAAGACATAAAACAAATCAAATCAAAAAACAATACAAAATAGTGCAAGCGCAGGAGTTTAGATTCAGGGTGTGTCATTTGTTTACATTTGAATGGTTAACAAAGTTAAAAAAATCTGCACACCGTTAGTCATAAAGCCCAAGTAAATCACGTTATTTTGCAGATATGTCCACATTAATGTCTTTAATAGGCATATTCCCCACTGCAAATTGGTTTATTCTGTGTATTCTTTGGGAATACTATGTCATGTTTGAGGAATTGAGGAATTGCTTATAATTTTTTTTTGTTACAGCTTTGGACGTACTGATTTATATTTGGTCCAACTTATCTGTGAAACTACAACAGAGAGAAAAAAACTCGGGCAACTTCAGTCCGGCCTTGTGCATGAACCTAATATTTGTTATATGCACGACATTGTGTGATTTGTTCTCTGGAAGTCTACAGTTAAGCAGTGGCCCTGCAGCTGAGTACAGAGAAGCAGACTTTAACCTTTCACCTGCAGTCTACCGGGTCAGTCTGGTTACTAAATAGCGATTGTTTGTCTATCTCACAGCCACAGTTACTGGGGGGAATAACCGCTATCTTGGCTTAGGCACTGAACTTGGCATTATAGCAATACATTGTGGCCATCCACTGCTAGCAAATAGTTTATTTAAAAACACTAAAGGCTCCATGATGCTAAAAGTCTTAAAAAAGAGACAATCTGATGTCCTTGTGTTGTTGTGGTAGACCACAGTGATATTGGATTTCTGAAGGGAAACAGGGATCAAACATCTTCCCCTTTTAGACAGTACATATGTCTCTGATTTAGAGCCTGAGCACCTTCAGAGGCTTCTCACTTCAGCCACCATCCTTGCCAAACTGGTGTGATCTACTCTCTGGTGGCTGTCCGTTCCGCTTAACTTCACATTAAATCGCGGAATTTATGTCCCGCCACTGCAAGCCCATAATCAGTAACATATTTTGTGTTTGTTAGGGGGTCGTTATGTCAGGGAACATTGCCAAGAACTCTTGAATTTCTGTATTGTATCGATCCATAGCTAAACATGTCCTGCTGTCATCCACACTGACTTTGGCAACTCTAGCCGCTCATTTCTTAATAATCTATTGGGTTTTAAATAATAAATAATTCTGATTTTGTGTCAATCATTTGTGGGGTTCCCGCCGAAAACACGTGTTTCCCCCAAGAAAAACATGTGTAATTCAAGTCATTGAGGCCCAAACTGCGTGTTTTAAAAACGTGTCAGCATTTGAATGGGTCCCAAATGACCCAAAGGACTTTTATTCCAGCTTGTTTTCCTGGAAGTCTTTTATAACAACTGTTTTACTTAACACTGAGCAGAAAAAAAGCCTCAGAAGATAGACAGAAGACTCATTCTTGGTTACAGGCAATAATGCTTTAAACTAGTTTAAGACCAACAGACACAGGGACCGTTTTATCCCACATACCATAAGACTGCTGAACTTCCGAACTTGCTCTATTTGTATTGTTTTTATTTGTTTTATGTCTTCTATCTATATGTTGTATTGTTGGAGGAACCTGTGACCCAATACATTCACTGCACAACTACACTGTAGCTGAGTATATGACAAAAGAAAACGTTGAACCTTTTAATTAAAGTTCATTTGGTCCAGTGCACAGCTTTAAAGTATGTAGCTAAGCTTAGCTCTTGCTGGCTTTTGATGTGAGACTCAAATTAAAGACTTTCCCACAATACACTTAAAACCTTAAAGATTATAAAAGAGTTGTTTGATCCCGACCAAAACCAAGTTGTAAATCTGTACCATTCACGAAAAAAACCTCAGGGCACACTATCGTTAAATATAAGATAATGCCACCATGAAGCTTAGGACAAACCATCCTTTCTCCAGTGGGTTGTCCATCATCCCTCCTGTGTCTCACTTTCTCTCTCTCCCTCTCTCTGTAGAATTGGTACAGCGGGTATAGCAGTGCAGGTTGTGGGCAGCAACTGGCCAAAGCCCCACTACACCCTCCTCATCACCGGACTGTGTCGCTTCAGTGTGACAAGTCTGCTGAAGGAGCGACCCTTTGTCCTGGCAGAGGTAAAACAATTCAATATCAAGACAAAGGTATATTTAAGATCAAAAAGGTCTTTCTGAGAATTTATCAAAATGTACAATTTACTTTTTACAAATAATGTGTGGACCCTTTTGTAAAATCACAGCTCCATTTGCTCCATCCTTTTTTGTGTGTCATCTATACAAAAGCAATTGGAATATTGTTTATTATTGCCGCGGTTTGCGACACACGGCTTC